ATGTAGTCGCCATGTATATTTTGAGATTATTATGAGCCTTTCGGTCCCCGGGAAGATGGCCTGAGCTCACCGCGATCAGCCGAATACCGATATGATGGAGCACGGGCCATCCATATTTCTAGAAAAGTCGGCCACCGTGAAAATCGACGATATGGTACTACACTCTCCGGGAGAGTACACCACCTCGTTCACGGGGCACTGAACACCTCGAACATTTGATGTCCCTCTCAGCTGCAAAGCCTCGAATACTTGAGGCTTTGCAGTAATCGAGAGGGTTCTAGTGTGATAACCCACTTTTTGTTTTTGTGCGGAATTTAAACATTTTTTTGAAAACAGTTGCGCAACAACAATTGTAAATAGTAATCGGTACACTAAAATAGAGTAAAATTGGATGATCGCGGATCCAGGAGAATCCTGGAGAATCATCAAGTTGGGCGCAATGTCGGGGACAGGCGCCCTGGCCCGAACGGACGGTTCCTATTGAGGGGAAGTGCCTTCGGCGCAAGCAAGAGAAAGCGCCTTTGGCGATAAAGTGAATCCCTCATAACTTTCTCAATTCGTGACGCCTTGACTTGGTTAGAGTCTTGTTGAAAAGAGCTGAACACGCTCGTTCTAACGAGCCCAAGAACTCTTAGAGCGGATTAGGGATCACTGAGTTATGAGTGTCGGAAGTTACTGATATGGGGCGCCTTCGGCGGAAGACACGCCTTCGGCGGTGTACTCCTTCGCCTGAACGCCTTCGGTGCCAGCGCATTGATATTAGGTCAACGCCTTTGGCGGTAGACGCCTTCGGCAAAACGGAGCACATGCAGCAAGAGCGCCTTCGGCAGGACAAGAAAGAACATCGGAAACGACAAGACGCATTGACTTCGGTCAACGCCTTCGGCGGAAGACAAACGACTTCGGCCGAACGCCTTTGGCGATACGGAGGAAGTAAATCGGAAACCTGCCAGGGACGAAGTCCTTTGCCGCCACGCCTTCGGCGATGCGCGAGCAAGGCTAAGTCGACGAACAACGGCAGAATCGAATTCAATTTTCAGGCGTGAGAGTTCGCACAACGGTGGAGCGTGAAGCCGAGCGTGCGAAGAAGGCCGTTACGCCTTCAAGCCGGCGCTGCAATCAAGTGGGTCGAGTCCCACTCCCAAGTGTCGAACGGTGAAATCTTGATCGCCGAAGGCAGCCGTCTCATTCTTGCAATTTTAATTTCGATTTCGCTCGAACGTCGACCGCACAACAGAGAACTGGCGGAGAGAAATTAGAGAGAGTTGCGACGAGCAAGCGTGCAACAGCTAAGTGCGCAGCTAGGGGTTTCTCACTAGAAAGTGCGGGGAGCTCGCTGAGTGATTGAGTCCGCGAGCAAGAAGCTTGGGGATAGAGAGTGGAGTGTTCGCGGACTTTTGACGTGCACGGCCGAGTTCAAGAACGCGATGTCGAAGGCTACGCAACTACGGATGATTCCGCTGAAGCTACCGCAGATTGGATTGCGCGCATTCCAGCATGAGCTGACTGCGGTGAAACTCGATTTCCTCCTGTGGGGATGGAATTGGGTGTACGGATATGATACGAGAGTGGCTGCGGGACAAGGATCAACCTACGCGCGGATTCCGATCGCACTCGGAGCGGTGGGAAGTCAGTGACTGGGATCAGGTGTTAGGAAGATGCGCGGGAGAAGAAGGCCATCTTCTTTTCGAGTGCGAGAGTGTCAATGTCTCGAAGGAGGAAGAAGCTTCCTTCGGGGCGCTGGTCAAGCATAGCAAATCGAGCAAGAACGTATACAAGATCTGTGACTACAAGGATCGCTTGCGGAGGAATGTCGCGGTAGCATTCATTCAAATCTTGCAGCCGCACCGGACCACCTACATAACTTCTTGGCAGATGGGGTTCGTGGAGCTGGCGTTGTCCGGAGCTCCGATTCATTGAGCTCGCATTCTGTGGAAGGCGACGAGACAACACGCATTCGAGGAGAAGGGAGGATTGATCAATCACCTCTCCCACTTCTTGATCAATTTCTATCGGTCGATGGGATGGTTGACCGCGTCGGAGCGGATACAATTTCCATTGCTGTCACGTAGCAATCCGGGCCGATATGTGAAGGATGTCGAAGTCGATACTGACGAAGACGATACGCCCGCCTGCACGCCACCAGCTCAACCGAGGGCGGAGGAAGAATCGCTTGCAGCACAAGTGCCGCGGAAGCGGAAGTGGGAAGGAGGGGCGGAGCAGAGCCAACAACGCGATGCTGCTGCTTCCAATCGAAAGCGGCCGATGCAGGAGCTCTGCAGTCGTCCCAAGCAGAAAGCACGTAGGCTCGTCCTGCCGGCAAGCAGCGCAGAAACGGGAAGAGCTGCAGAGAGGAGAAACTCGCCATCCTCGGGGGAGGATGCGAGTGCACGAACTTCGGAGAGGTCAGCGGACCTCCCTGCACCGAAGGCACGGACGCCTTCGGCGGAAGCAAGAAGGCCTTCGGGTCAAGGAAGACAACATGCGGCACCGACGAATGTGCCGACGACGGACAGGTGTTTCGCTCCCGAGCAAGCACCAGTGGATGACTCGACTTCGGATCAAGAGCCTTCGGCGCAGCAGAGGAGTGAGGAGGAGCATTCGGCTCAAGGGCTTTCGGCCCAAGAGCCTTCGGCTCAACGGACTTCGGGTCAAGCGCCTTCGGCGATAGACGCCTTCGGCGCAGGCCCAATGTGAGGGATCGGCGACGGACGAAGGACGGAAGGAGGAGACACGTGTGCCTTCGGCACAAGCGCCTTCGGCGGTAGCAGATCAGGCAGGCGAAGCGGACTTGTCGAGAGCCGGGTCTCCCACTGCATTAAACATTCTGGCAGGGAGTGGAGCCGCGGCCACGGCAGCAGAAGCCACGCAACCCAACTCCCGGGCATCGCCGGGGAATTCCGTAGCGACCGAGATCCTCAATTCGGAGGATGACGAGGATAAGTCGAGCTCGAAGGAGCAGGAAGAGGAGTCGGTGCAAGGCACGCCGACAAGAGTCTTGTGCGAGCAAGTGGTACCCTTGCTGCGGTACCTTGATCGCAAGGTGGCGAAGTATGGTGATCCCCGCCATCGGAGGTCCTACGTCGAATTGGAGATTTCTTGAGAGATTTATTACTAACATCAGATCATTCACAACGTGTTCGATATGCAGTTTTTCTGACAAGAAGGTATCCTCGAATTCGATCGAATTCTCCTCAGTACTGCGGTAGTTTGTCACTTGAAACATACAGAGGCCATGACTTTCAGTATCGTAAAATATGTATGGTCGGCAGTGGACACCTGGCCTTAAAAAATGCCGCACGAGGCAGAAGGTTCACAGTCTTGAAGACAGATCTCGAGAGAGGGCGGTCTGTGCTTTCGGCATCAAGGCTACGCGAGGAGGCTGAAGATTCACAGCCTTGAGGACAGATCTTGGGTGAAGAATTGAGTATCTAGTGCGAGTCCGTGCTTTGATGAGCCTTAAATTTGTTTGAGAATGTTTCTTCCAACCCGTGTGCCATGACCTTATTTTTATCTTCATTTTTTTTTTGACTGAAAACCAGCCGAATAATTGAATTATTTCCAGGGACCTGGTCCGAGTACGCAGTGCGCTATTTCTGGTCGGGCCGTAGGTTCTTTAGGCCGTGGTGTCTATTTCGGGGCGTGTTTGATCATCGCCAACCCATGGATATGGGCCCTTGTCTCAGGATTGACATGTACGCGGCCCAGCAATTGGTTTGAGCGGCACGGGAGGGTGATGTTTTGCGGGGCTGTCGACCTATGGCTAAGTCGTGGTCATGCACGAATTTATTTTGTAGGAATTCTTATGTATAAAAAGAACAAATTTTAGAGGTACGGTCCACGCCGGGGATTGCTTCGAACCATGCTGTCCAGCCCAACGTTGTGTTCAAGCTCGACAGGCACCCGATGATGGCGGTCACCACTGAGCACTCGAGCCGCGCCGAGGCCCGATACTATACACTAGTACGTTGTTCCGAACTCGTGGAATATTAGCTTTTACGCAGGCAATTACGATCCGCTGTGTTGGCGTTTCACGTCCAAACGGTGGAGATTTGATCTTCAGCTGATCAAAGATGGAGATAGTCAACGCAATTACAGGGTGGTTTGGGAAACCTCTCCCAAAACGTTCCGTTGGCATCAGCATGAGGTCCATGATATGTTGAAGGACGTTGTGCTGGATGTCGTCAAGCCCGGGCATGGAGAATACGTCGGATTCGGGGAGCAAGGACGTACCAGCTTTGCCAAGCTACCTGCCTTCATGAACTACTTCAGTATGTTCCATTGCGGAACTGGGCCCCAGAGAAAGAAACAAAATCAATTGACTGCGCTCTAGATTGCGACAACATGCAATATCAGCAGGTCTATAACAAGGGACCCCTCGATTCGAGCGAACATCTGTGAGTTCCAATGTCTGACTGGGCTCTTTACTTTCAATAGATTGATGGTACTCCTACTAACCGTGCAGCTATCACTCGGATCCATTCTTCTTCGAGGTCAACGCCAATCCAGAGCGAGATATCTAGCACGCGGAGTAGAGAGCCACGCCGGCAGTCCTCAACGCTCATAGATACTCCATCACAAAGAATTTGTTGACTTATGTATCATTATTGTTTACAAAAAACCCGAAAGGGAAAGTTTCTCTACTTATTAGGAGTGTGTCTGGTCTTAAAAGCTCACTCGGGTTGACTGCGCACAAAGATGCCGATAGCGCTGGTTGTGTCAGGATCGGATGGCAACGCGCGGCACTGGTTTCGAACACCGAGTTGCACTACTCCAACACCGACGACGCGACAATCCAACCAAAACACCGCAAAAATGCAACTTTTCAGGCCTCCCGAAAAATTCAATTCCTCCCATCTAAATTCAATCTACAAAGATCCAAAAACCACAGATTCAGCCGAAGTTTCCATTTCTGGGGTCATATGGCAAGAGAGCGAGTGCTGACGTGGACACTGCTGGGTACACTGGGAGCACTCAAGTAGCATACACCATCGAAGCAAACGTTTCTGCCAAAGCGGCACGACCATCGCGGGGCAAACCATTTTATCGAGTCGCGATACAGTGAGGATCCTGTTTACACCTTTATTCACTTCACATGCACAGCAGTTATCGCCGTGGTTAAAAGGTATTATTTATGCTATCGTTCCTCTCTTCGAGCAGGAACACCACCTAACGACGCCGCCGCCCTATCATATCCGCACCCGAAAAGCCTTGGATCGTGACCAAAGGAAAAGCCTTCAAATTTCTTCAGCCCATATCCAACAGAACATAATTAAAGGAATCACGCATCAACCCCCCCACCCCTTTCAACCAAATAGCTCCTTACTCCGTGCTCTTCTGCAAGGTCAGAGCGATGTCCGGCTTGTTGGGGAGCAGAGAGGGCTGGGTTGCGATTCTGAGCTTCATGTTCTTGAGCGAGTTGTCCACATTCATGGAGAACTTGTAGTAGTTGCTGTCCTTGTTGAAATCGAATTTGATTCCGGAGGTATCTTGGTGGAAGTCGGTGACGGTTCCGGTGTAGGTCTGCGGGACCTTCTCTTTGCCACCACTTTGCTTCGTCCATTGCCAAAACACGCCGATGGAGTTTCCGGAGGAGAAATTCGGGGAGCCGATGACCATGATCATCTCGTTGTCGGCGAACGGATGCTCGGTGTACTTTCCCATATAGAGAACAAGGGCGGATGTGTCGGAGGTCATAGCCAAATCAAGGGTAGTCGGTTTCTCGACGCTGCCGTGGGGGTCGTTCCGCATCGTCACCACGATGGACTTTTCGTCGCTGCTGATCGTAGCGTCGAAATGGTAGTAGTTCTCTTCATGGAACCGGATGGTTCGCTTGCCGTCGACGACGAAATCCATGTTGACATATCCTTCGACGAAGTTGTTGACCTTCTTAGCGCCGGACGAATTCTCGGTCCATTGATAGGCCGTGTACACCGGATCCCCGACAGCGAAGCCCTTGGGGAACACGAAAGTGCAGGTCTCGTTGACAGCGTAAATCAACCAGTTGAGCTTGCCCCTGTAGACCTTCATTGTGGAATAGGTAGATGGATGGATATGGGACTAAGAAGTCGAAAAAAGATGAGACGAGTACTTTGAGCGGGATGGTTGCTTGGGAATGTCTGTTTAGATCGAGAGAACTGAGGCTTAAATACACATGGACGTCCTTCTACATTGTCACGCTGTAAAGACGTGAAGTCTACAGCCTCGTCAGTCTCTCGCAGTGACGTGATCAGTCTCCTTTTCAGAGGAAACGAGCCACTCCCGTCCTAGATATCTATCTCCATCTCCAAAAGGGCTCTTGGGCGTTCTCGATTGTACAGCCACTCGTGTCCTAGATATCTATCTCCATCTCCAAAATGGCTCTTGGGCGTGCCCGTGCATCGTTTTATCTTGGTCGGGATTGATTTCATGCCGTTTACCTACTGCAGCTCATCTATAATGTGGTCTGATCACACTCCGAGCCGCTTGAGGGCACTGAGAATTCAAAGAACGACAAATCACCATGTTTGTAAGAAGCTTATGAATCTTCCGATTTACAGCAGCTTGCATGCATGGTAAGTGGAAGCCAATAGCTGCCAGCTGCCAACTTGAGAAGACCGTACAAGGAAAGGGCGAAGAGAAAGAAGCTATAGCCAGAGAGACCTGATGATTCTTTTCTCCCTCGGCGACCTCTCGGTTACGACTACGACAAGGTAAGCGATTGATGTGTTTCTGTGAAAGCTCTCAGCCTGCGGCTGTTCTTGGGATTTGCGAGCGAAACGCTAGCAGTAGCAAGATAGGAGTAGGAGGTACGAGAACCGATTCGTGAGCATATTCTCTTGAATGCGATTTCGGGGAGGGTGGAGGGAGATGAACGTGAGTGATTTCCTTACTCCACACTGGTATGACAGTCTTCGGCTCGCTGGCTCAAATCCCTCGGTGCTCGGATTTTTTTTAACGAGCAGATGATACTGAGTTGGATATGTCGATCATCCAGGGCAACACAAGTAGTCGGCCCCTGCCTCGCATATAAATTGGGTGCGGTCAGAGGGGATCGGGGATGTTCCGGGCGTTGATGACCGACCCGGAAAGGATCAGATGTCGGTGACGACCCAGAGGAAAGATATATGTGTAGGCATCAGCTGAATGCACCATGATATAACTCATCGTGATGCATGCTGTGTCCAACAGCGGTGGTGGGGGAAAATATGTGGTTGGCTTTTCACACTTGCCATGGCGAGTCCACGTATCATCTCAGAGTACACATCCACAGTGCTTGCGTACAAGCTGATGAGTTACGACTGTCAAGACAGTTGCCAGGGTTTTCACTGTCTGCGCTGCATAGACCTTAGGCCGAAAGCCTGCAGGCGCAGACAGTGAAAAACCTGGCCTATACAAAATCAATTGTCTTGACAGTCGTAACTCATCAGGTTGTACGCAGAAATCATTCCACAAATTGCCACCTCCGAACTCGCCTGCTCCGCTATCGCCAATCCGATATTACGTCACAAAAAATGGTAGAAGAAAAGGCCGGCCAGAGTCGTCTTGGGGGCGAAACGCGATACCCCTGGTAACGGTGACGGTGACAAACGAACGGTGTACGTATACCGTCAGCCCGGAGAGCATTCAATCGGGGTTGTTCTAGCCAAAAGCGTTATGGTTCTGATGTAACGCCGGGTGTTATATCACTCGAACTCAATAGATAGATAGATAGATGCATATAGAATCCAAGAGAACAAACGCCGGGCGTCTTATTAAAGTAAACAATAGAAATATAACGTTTCGCTTTTCGGGGAAACGGCGCAAGAACTGCCTTCGACGGGAGTTATTCACCGAACCATCCTGCCAAAATGCTCAACTTTCCCATCTTCCAAGGACTTTCTCTGATTAAGAGTGGCGGATGATTTTTGAAACCTTTATTTTCTCAAACCTCCAGGATTTATGAAGCTTGACAAGGAAAAACACATCTAAAGACAAAGTTAAAGCCTTGCTTTGCTGAGATGTGCAAAGCAATATCTTCACTCTTGTAGGATTAACTTACTACTTGCTACTCTGTATCGCTTTCTGTTTGTCTCATCTGTTTCAGTTCGACGGATGAGAAAAGAGTTTGAGGCAGCCTCCGACAGGATCCTTACAACTAACGAGGCTACAACTTACACCAAATCCAGCGTTTACTTTCCAACTAAATGTTTGGTCCATACCATCTCTGGTTCCAACCAAGACAACTTTCCTGCTATGCACCATCCTGTATACACTGCCTGTGTAAGTCTATCATAAAACATATCATAATACTGCAAGCTTCAAGTGGGTTCCTAAGAAAACTCGACCAAATATTTTTCTCTTACGATACTACACCCACAGCTCGAAGGAACCGGAATGGAGCATGGGAAACACGATGTTACCCAGGACTCCGGGCGCGAGCTGTCCAGCAGACTGATCTGAGCTTCTACAAAATTAATGGTTGCGAATCCACAAAATTCGGTTTCATGACGCTGCTACCTTAACAAATGCCATGCTGTCAGATACATGGAGGTGGAATTCTTCAGTCCCCATCGAGTTGTGGGGTCACATCCATCAGTTCCATGGGCTTGAGGACCATCACAGGTGTAGATTATGGCGCATCAACTCCTCGAGAGTTCTGCTCATGCTGGTCCTGCGTGACGCCCTTACACCCCTGTTGGATTCATTGCAATCCATCGTTTTGGTGCTCCTTTCAGGTGAAGCACACTGGGAGGGGGGCTTAACAGGAGATAGGTAGTCTCCAGCAACTGGCGAAGCATACTCCACCCCGTCTTCGCTGTCATCCGCTTCTTCCCACCTGTTCTCATCGTTCTCAAGTTCACCCCACTTGCTTGCATCGATACTCAGGGATGTTGGGCAGCACACTTCATTGATCGGAGACGCGGTTTGGCAGATCGTGTCATCACTGTTCAGAGGTGAGGCATTTTCACCGATCATACTGTCTTCGTGCAGGGGTGAAGCAGTTTGGCACATCACGTCATCAGCTTGAACAGGTGAAGTACCCTGGCACACTATATCGTCATTCAGTAGAGGCTCGATGGGCGAAGCTGTCTGGCACATATAATTATCCATGGGGTCGGAGCCCTGCTCAGCTTCGAGCTCAGCTATGTTGGCATAACTTCTCCTCGTGGAAAACGAAAAAGGTAAAGATGGAGCTTCTTGTGAACCTCGGGAGCTGCGGGATTGGAGACTTTTGTTCAAGGAGCCGTCCACATTCAGAGCTTGCAAGCTTTGTATCAGCGATTTATTTGGCAGATCTGGATCTCCGTCAGACACACTTTGGTCGGTCATAATTCGACGCCTCACGGATCCTGCCACTAGAGCATCGATGAGCTTGGAACCCCCTTCTGGAAGCTGAGACGCTCTGTGGAACTCGGGTGTGATGGGACTGAAACCATACCACGTAGGGTCTGGAGCATACCACGTCTTAGCACCTCCACTCATGCGTCGCTCCTGAGCTGGCGGCACCCAAGATGAACCGAACGAGATAGAGCCAGCAACAAATTCCTCAGTCTTCCCCTCCTCTGGACTCTGCCTCGCGCTGGATGCTTCTGAGTCAGGCAACCCATTTCTCCAGTCGATCGTCACGTCAGCATAACCCGCAGATGCGGGAAAATCCTGGCTCCTGCCTTGAAGGGAGTCTCGAATAATACCTTCACTGTGATTGGACTGAGATGACATCCTGCTCAGCTGCCCTGTCCCGTCTTTGCTGCTGAATTGCGACTGCCTCAACTGCTGGAGAAACGCTTGAGAGGACCGCACGATCGGCTGGTAGAATCCTTCGCCACTCTGCCGCGATTGTCGAACCGCCTTGAATGCCTCCCCTCCAAGGTTCCGTGAGTACTTGAGCTGTTGGTAGAATGCATCGCTGAACACGTCCTGACTCGACCTGTCATGGCTGGCCCCATCTGCGCTCCGCCCCGACTGTCGAACCTGCTGCTTACGCCCATCTCCTACGCTGAACCTAGCCTGCTTCAGTTGGTGGTAGAAACCATCACCAAACAAATCCTGCGTAGAATTTCCTTCGAAGGTTTGTCGAGATTGCCGTCTCTGAAATTTATCCCCTACACTAATCCGTGGCTGCTTAACCTGCTGTCCGAAGTCCTCTTCTGTCAAGTCCTGACTAAATCTGCTCGACCTCAGAGACTGGTTCTCATCATTGTAGAAATCCGGAACTGATATGGCAGATGAATTGCTCAAGCCTCCCAGCATGTCCTTACGATCCATCCATTCAACCGAAGCCACGGAAGGTAGAGGCATCTGAACTGAAGTCTCGAGCACTCCGCTACTATCACTGTCCATGCTCAGCCCCTCGTTCCCGACAACAAGAGTACCCCGGGGTTTACACTTGCGTCGGTCTCTCACAAACCCTCCGCATCCTTCAGGTGCCACCATGGGACCTGCACCGAAGTACCCTCTACCTTCTCCGGACAATTCCCTCGATCCCCTCTTGGGAATCTCTGGGGAATTCGCGGGCTGCGCAGGCGGTGGCATTTCGCCATCCGCCTCTCGTTTCTCCACGCCGCGCTTGCGAGACGGGACTTGGCCGATCCAAATGCCGTGCCGTGCGCTCTCGGAGCTCTTCGTCAGCGGCTCCTTTCTGATGGCGTTCTTCTTGGAGGCCTGCGGAGACAGAAACATGGACTTCACAGGTGCTCTGTTGGGCGTCGATCCTCGGCCGGGAGTCGAGCCTCGGCGAGTCTTGCTCGCCGAGTAGGCCCATGCCGAAAAGGGCTGCGACTTGTCCCTCGTCTTGCTTCCATCCGGAGCTGCTGCTGCTGCTGCTCCTGCTCCTGAACGACTGGGCCTTTCTTTCAATTTTCTCGTGGGCGTCTCGTCCACGCACGGGCTTCTGTCCTTGATTCCTTGGTTGGTCGGAGTGCCGAGAGTGGCCAGAGGCTTTCGGCCTTTGCTGGTCGGAGTGACGAGGGATGAAGCGGGTTTCTTCGGCCTGGAGGGCGGAGGGGTCTCGTTCTTCACCGGAGCTGTCGTCACCTTGGGCCTGCTCGTCCCCGGAGGCGCTACGGATTTCGAGTCATCGGTGGTGGCGATGGTGGAGGCTGTCACCCGAGGAGATGCCGGCCTCAAGCGAGGAGAAGCTTGTTTCAGAACTTTCGCTGCTGTGGCACCTGCGGATTTCAGAGGGCTGGGATTCTTTTTCACTGCTGGTTTCTCAGCTTTCGGAGCTGCGCCATCGGATGGTGTTTTCAAGTTTCCAGTCGATTTGTGTTCTCCCAGAGGCTTCGGACCTCCTGTCCTGGATAGCGTGTTGGGTCGGCCCGGACTGCAACCACCGTACCATGCTGGTCGGTTTTCCTTGACCGTGGACGACAAGAATGTGGATCGAATTGGTGGAGCTCTCGTCGTCGCCGTCGCCATTGTGTGCAATTTCGTAGTAGTTTGAAGTCTGCAGTCAGTAGTCGGACGTATGTTGTGATATTAATACACTGCCATCGTTCTGTTTACCGGCATTCGTGCGGTAAAGAAACCAACATTGAAATCTCTTGGAAGAGCAATCCGGTCTTGGCGGTGGCAAGATTTCATTACCACGAGAGTCAGAGTTCTGAAATCGGAAGAATTCTGAACTCTCTTGATGAGAACTGGCTTACACTCAGCGTTATTCACAACACCGTAGAGATCGAAAAAGAGAGAACAGTTTACAACAGAGTGAGAATTGCGATCACATTTCTGACCAGACCACATTCGGAAGTCGGAAACATTTCCCAAGGACCAGTGAACACACAATCGAATGAAACAAGTCAGAGACTCTATTAAGTGTTCGCAGCAGCTGTGGCATTTAAGGAATGGAATCTTGGAGTTTATTGAGAGAAATCATAGGCACCTCAATCAGTCTTCGTATAACCGTGAAGAATCGGCGCTCCAATCAGCGCTGCTTCTCCGCCACAAGAGCTCCTTTGAATCGTGCTGTCTCGTGCGCCGAGAGCGGAAGACCGACCCACCTAAGAAGAAGGAGCTCGAATCTCTCGTCTGAGAACTCCCAAATCTAGCATCACACAATCTCACTCTACCTCCCTTTCCAAATGAGCTCCCGATCCACATCACGGTTCAGAAAGCACCCATCAAACTCGAAAAGAGCTCCACAACTCCGGAGACCGCTCGGTCAGCTTCTCACCATGCTCCTCCACCGCGCCCAATCGCTCCGACCGAGTTCAATTCACGCAATCCAACCCAACCCAGCATGCTGTCTGTCGTTGTCAGAATCCATCGTCGGTGCATTTTCTCCCCGATTACAATACAATCCTCATCATCCTCCTCCTCCAGCCCCTCCAGCTCGCGGAATCGGCAAATTCTTCCTCGTGCAACAAACAAGCAGCTACGGCGATGCTTCTTCCATCGACTGCGAAAATTTAATTCCCAACGGATGGATCCTCCTCTTCGGACAGACAGACAGAGAGCCAGACCATTCCCTCGCCACTGCCACTCGCAGAAGGAGAGCAGAGCAGAGCAGACAGAGCCCAGAGCTCGGCACTTCGCCCTCTGCTCATTCCGTTCCTCCTTCCCCTTCTTCCTCTTCCTCCTTCGGGCATCGAGGGGCGCGCGGGGCTCGGGCAATCGAATTCGAATTTCCGTGCCATTCGGAGCTGCCTGACCAGCAGCGGCCAGAGCAGCCAGCCGCTCGATGCGATGCACCGCACGGTGGCACACGGCATCCGCTGGATCGTGGATCTCGGAGATCCGACAGTGCTCGGGGACCGGAACACGGCGGTGCTGTGAAGCCTCCCGGTGGGTCCTCCGATGACGTGGCGGGAGCCCGCTTCGAAAGAGCCGTTGCGGAGCGAGCCACAAGGCAGGGCTGCGGGAGCTCGGATGGTTTTTGAAGTCTCGTTGCGTGTTCTTCGTACGGTGGTGAATGATATTGGCCACGTATCGATCTCGGACTGCAAATGAGCGAAATTTATTTATTTTTATTGGAGAATTTCCAGACTCTTGACGCCATAGTTTACTCTTAAAGAATAAGATATAAGAAATCCAGAAAAAAATGGAGATGAATATCAAACAAAGAAAATTTCAAACTCTTTGAAGATATAGACTTCAATTCAATGTTGCACCAGAGTACGTTTGATGTCCATCAACGTCAGCAAATCAAAATTTGACAAGAAATTTGCTATTGGATAATTAGATTGATATTTCACTTGGAAAATATATCAGTCACATGCGTTGTTATGAAGTTATGTCCAAATCCAATAACTATTGACATGTGCAATAAGTAAAACTTATTTCTAGTGTTTTACCATCAATTATTTAAATTCTAGCTTATTTATTAAAATATTTTATATCAAATGGGAAAAACTAAGTATTTGTTTCACTGTCAAAAATATTTTGATATTCTGCATCCATGAATAAATTCATATAATTTATACTGATGTGATTGAAAATTTGCTTGTATTCAAGCTTGATATAAGATGTTTACCACTCAAATAATTATATATTTAATACTTTAAATTATATTAAGATCAAAGATATTTTTTCATGAAAATATTTTTTGGATATTTTATGAGACATATTTTATAATAGGAATTATTTTTTTGTAAATAAATATAATCAAATTAAATAAAATAATAAAATGTTTAATAAATTCTAAATTTCAAATTTTAAGATAGAAATAAAACTGAAAGTCAATAAATTGATATGAATGAAATTATCAATATAAATTTTTTCATAAACATATTCTAGCTTCATTTCTTGAGATTGATTATATCTTAATTAACAAATATTTTTAAATTTTTAATAAGGAAAAATCTACATATCCAAATGAAGATCATAATTTTAACTAAAAAAAAACAGATATTGATGCAAACATCATATCATGCCTAATTCTAAATAATAATTGTGAATTTTTCAACATTGAAATTTAATGATAATGTAAAAATATTTTTTAAATACTATATAAATTAAATTTATGATTGTGATCTTTAAATTGAAAATTGAAAATTTTTATTATTTCTGTTATTTTCCATAATAAAAGTAAATTTTTATACTTATTTCTTAAAATTAAATTTTTTTAAATACTTTTAAAAAATTAAGACTTTCAAATCAAAAAATTTAAAATATAGTTATGATGGATAATTAATAAAGTAATTTTACACTAGTGATGTAAGATATTTATTACCACAATTGAAGAAATATTTTGCAAAAAACGGGATGAAAAATGTTTTAAGAAAATCCAGTATGAAAAAAATTTGAAGTAATTCACATGGAGTTATCTAAAATAATTTATGTCATCATAAAAAAATTTTACAATATGAGTTCTGTGTTATGTTAAATTATTTTTGAGTTAAATCAAAATTTTAAATGCAAAATTTTAACAAAAATTGAAGACAAACTTTTAAATGCAAGTTTGCATTTTATTATTAGAGTTACTAATATAGCTATATTATATGATCATATAATGTTACTATTTATTAAACTTTTTATTGATAAAATTTAGTTGTTTACATATGTTTTTGTGAAATTCAAATTACTCAAACAAAAAACTTAGATGAATTTTGAATATATGCAACAACGTGTTATTATTGTAGTTTTTATTTTTGACACATATATTTTGTGTGAACACTTTAGAGTATTTGACTGTCCATATTATAGGTTTCAATGTAATATTTTTATTCGATTTAAATGTTTGAGTTGGGAACTATGTTGTGCAAACGAAACTACTCAATTTGTTTTGAAATTCTGCAGCTCCTACAAATTCACACAATACTTCAAGATCATGAGCGTCAAGAGAGGTTTCATATTCATATATAGTCTAGTTTACACTGCGCCACCTGCACAAATCTGAACTTCATAGACCACATGAAGATGATCACCACAGTTTCAAATTTTTCATGAACTGCAATTCCCATAGGGTAACGGAGCACATCCAATATTAGTTTATACTAAAAAAATATGATATGATGCCAAGCTTTCTGTAATCATTACTGCTTTCATTTTTAACACATATATTTTGTTTGAACACTTTAAAAAAAATCATATTAAAGGTTTCAATGTAATATTTTTATTTAATTTAAATTTTTGAGTTATATTTTTTAACAAAACTTGTCAATAAATAGTTCAAATAATAATTTTTGAATTTTTGCAAATCAAAATTTTCATTGATTACATCAACTTTTTTTTAATTTTAAATCTTTGCTAATATGCAATTTTTTTAAAAACAATTATCAGAAAAAAAATAATTAAAAATGTTCAAAATATATAAATAATATAATTAATCTCATTTTTATGATTAATTTAAATAATATAATTAATTATAATTTTTAAAAGCATTAGGACTAAATAGAAAGTGAATTTTTTTATCAATTTCCAAAGTTAAATTTAACTTGGGAAAATTTTTAATACAATAAATTTATTTTAAATTAAATTATATAATAATATAATTACAAATTAATACTCATCATAATGCATTTCAAAAAAAATATTTTCATATATTCATGATAATATTCATTTTTAATTTTGTGCAAGAAAATATATTAAAATAATAAATTGGAATGAGATAAACAAAATGAACCCTTGTTATTTTGCACAAAACCTATCTGTGTACATATTGAATTTAAACATTGTAACAACAAAGATTGAATAAAAATATAATATAAATATTTTTAAAAAATAAAAATATAATAAAAATATTTTTAAAAAATAAAAATTATTTTATTTTCTTAAATTTTTATTAATAAATGATCTGTTAATATTTCACTCTAATCAATCATGGTTTTTGTAAAAAATATTTTTTCAAAAAAAAATTTCCAAAATTTTTAATATACAATGTAACAATACACTCAAACATTAGTAGTCAAAAAATTACAATTAAACACATTTTTGAGTCAATTTTGGAATTAATTGATACAAAAATAAATAAAAAATATTTAAAAAATAAAAATTCTTATTATTAACATTCTCCTATTTTTTGTGGAATTTAATTTCTTTTTTTATACATCCTTGTAAATCAAATTGATAAGCAATTGTTTTTGTCAATTCCACTTCAATAAAATTTTGTTGGATGATCTTCCGTGTAGACATAAATTCTGATATTTTAATTACATTTTATCCATTTTTGTCTTTCATAATATTTTTTAAATCTGACCATGAGTGTAGATTAAATATTTTGGAATCTTTAAATGAGTTGACTCCACATCAATTATAGCCGTATATCAATGACAGAAATCGGCATACTTGCGAACAAAAAGCAGTTCCATGGATAGGGCGACATCTGCCCCCCGTCAGTTAGTAGTTCGTTTTTTGACCATGCCACGCCGCTATGATCTTACCTTGTACTACTTTGTACCCCGTGCAGTGTCTGTCTTGATTTTTGCCTAGTGTATACGGTAGCGACGAGTCATCTACGTATGTGTGATGTGAACTAAACCGCAACTACTATAGTATCCTCGCACAGTGGTCTTGTCGTGTATCCGAGTAGCATGCAAAAATAAAAAAAACATTTATATTTTTTTTACTATTAAAAATAATTTTTTACACATGTTATGACATCAATTTTTTTTGGCACATTTTGATACTTATTTCATATTTTTATGCAATCAATCATAAATTTCATTTAACTCGCAACTCTATACAAGAGCACCTCTGCAACTCCTGTGTGTAAAATTTTACACACAAGGGAGGTGCAGAGTTATATACTTCTCAAGTACATAACTTCGCAGATGCAACGCAGAACATCTGCAAAGTTATGTACTTGAAAAGGTTCCTAATGTAGGTGAGCACCGAGAGAGAGTAAGACCTTCATGTTCGTCAGAGTGTTTGTGTCAAGGATGCACTCTAGGAAGTGGGAAGAGATTTGTCGAAACTATTGTGTTTCGTGCCTGCGTAGAGAATTGGACGAGAGTTTTGCTAATCTTTTCGGTTTGTGCAATGCAATCCATATTTCATTTCTCTATGCAATCAATCATAAATTTCATTTTAACTTCATAATGCAATTTTTGTATTCAACTTATATTCATTCTATGATTCTTTTCATAAATTTGCTTCATATGTTATCTCAATTTGTATAAATTAAAATATGATTATGAGTAATGTATTTTATTATAAAAATAATTAAGGTATTCTTTTTAAAATATGAATATAATAATTAATCAACTTAAGATTTATATAAAATATGTCAACATGATCTTGTATCATTTAGGAATAAATCCAAGTGATTATTCCAATTATCACAATATCCTAACAAAGTGTTGCTTTGTTTTTAAATCAATTTGATTACTTTATTTGAATCGATTAAGTGAAGCAAATCAATATTAATCATTAATCTTACAAATATAATAATCATGAAAAAAACCCTCATTTATCTAAATATCAACACTTTGACTGTTTAATATTTTTCATGGAGTTAAATGGGTAAAAAATATATAAGTTTATTTTTGATATTTTGAACTTTTAGATTTTTTTAAATAGATACATAATATTGTTTTTTATTTACTTATGAATTTGTTTCACCAATTACCTTAATCAAAATAAAACTAAGTACAATTAATTATGGAAAAAACCAATAAAAACTTTCAATTAG